TCTGATCCAAGCCCTGACCTTGTAGTGAAGGAAATCTCCAGGGAGAGAAAATGAACATTTCTAGAGTAGACAATTAAGCATGCTAGTTCTGGGTTACAGGAGTGGTGTGATGGACTGCCCAGGCCTGCAATATCCTGGTTTGGGATCTCTGCTTTTCAAACACAGACACGGGTTCACATGTTGCAGTAAACTATAGGTGGTTTGCCTGGTTTTCACTTAGCATGTGTGAAGCCAGCCATCCTGTTTTATGAAACATGGCTTAGTGCAAATCCAACAAATAGTGGTTTGTTCAATGAGCTAAGTTAAGCAAATCATATCCCGCATTTTCACTGGTTTGCAACAATCCAAAACCGTGGCTTAACGTGATGTGTAAAGCACAGTTAGCCTGTGGTTTAGCCACAGATTGCTCTAAGCCAGTATGTTTGGTTTAGCAGAAGGGGTAAACCTGCTGATTTTGGCTTATGTAACAAGCAAGCAAATCTTGGCTTAGTGTGATGTATGATCCCAGTATCCTAAAAGCAGTGCATAAGAGGTCACCAACAGCAAAGTGCCTAGTTGAGACCTTCGTTCACCTCTGGAGCGACGCCGGTTTTAGAACTAGGGCCCCTTGATCTCTCCGCCTGCCCTGTTTCTCCCACTTGGTCTTTCTGCGACTTCGCCCTGTAAGCCAACTCCCCCACTCCAGTGTTTTGTCCAGGAAGGAAAGAAAGAAGGACAGTAAGAAAAAATGCAATTATTCCTTTCTACTGGTTGCGTGCAAGTGAAGAATTTAGGGGTTTTGTAAACCTGCATACATCAGTGGCTGGATTCAGACTACATACTAGACTAGTTTAAATGGTGTCAGGTTCAAGATGTTGTGGGTTATCGTCTGAACTGAACAATTCGTTTCAACCAGTGTTTTTCAAACCCGGCAACTTTAAGGCGTGCGGACCTCAGCTTCCAACCATCCCCAGGCAGGATTCCCCAGCCCATAGGGTATATTTGCTTGGGGTAACATGTTTGGTGAACTCAACAGTTTAATTAACACAGCAGTTAACCTGGATTGAGCGAACCCTAACCTAGGCTGCATGGATAGCAAATATGGCGTTGGAGAGTCGTCCAGTGAACCTGCCTAGGGCTGTAAGTCCGGAAGCTGCGCACATCCGTATCCCAGGCCTGCGCGTCTGAATGAACGAACGTCCATTTCTAGCCTTGACCCAAGATCTCCAGAAAAGAGAAAGCGGTGCCAGGCAGCCTTGCCCTCCCTGAGCTGTTCCCTGGCACGCCTCCAAAACAAGCCAAGGTCAGATGTTTGACCCAGAATGAAGGGGTGTGTTGGATGTGTGCGAAGAGAAGCACCTTTGTGCGCAAGGCTTGGACTCCCTCAGGTGGGCAACGGTTCCCCCGGCCTTAACTGGGGAAGCCATTGCAGGCCTGACTTTTGGAAAGGCGGTGGGGGGGTAGCCTCGCTGGCTTGCCCGATGGCTACTGCAGCCGGCAGATGATCTTCTGCTAGCACTGATCACCCGGCCAGCAGCGGCGTCTGCGGGGTGGGGAATTGCCTGAATGTTCCCTGCCTGCCGTGGGGTGCTCAAATGCAGGCAGACACCCTAGAGCTGCTCTGGGGCCAATTCATGAGCTCCTCCTTCATGCATTGCCCTCAGGGAAGCCCGGGCTGGCTTTGAGCTCAGCTGTCGCTGGCTGGCTGGCGAGGGGTCTGCAGGGAGGGGTCAGAACAGGGCATGTGCAAAGCACAGGCCCTCAGTCGCATGGCCAGGCCACCATCTTGCTTCGGAGACCCCCAGCCACGCAAGGAAAAGTAACCGCTCGGTGCTCTTCCAGAGCGGGAATGAAACTGCGCCTGAAGAAGACAGAGAGCACGAGGCAGGCGGGGAACGTCTCCTCTCGGGCAATTTGGCAGGTGGGCTTCATTGGTTTTCAGCCAGGGGCCAGGAGCCTGCCCCCAACCCGTCCCGGCAGCTTGGCAATCTTCATTCCTCCTCCTTTCATTCCACTAATTGTTTACATTCATCAACCGGTTTCCCATCAAGATTGCAGAAAGCATTGCAGTATCAAAACCCAGAGCAAAAATCAAGGCGGTAACGGAAGGAAAAAAGCATCGCTCCCCCCAGAAGCAACAGATGAACAAATGCATTAGAGAAAGATGCACTTCCAACTTGGAAAACTAAAGGGAAATGCAGAACCTCTCACCGATTAGTAATTCTGTGGCTGTTGTAAGGGAAAAGAGCAGGTCTGGGCGCAATCTGAACTGGGACCCCGGCAGGGGATGGGGGGGGCCTTAATCTTTGCTAAGTAGCCCCACACCAACCTGCGGCTCCAATACAGGTCGAGGGCCCTGCAGCTGCTATTTACGCTTCTTTGGAAAAGGCACACAGCAGGGATGACGTCCCGGTAGTTCAGCAGGGCCTCAAAATGTTCACAGTTTGCATAAGGAATACCAGGAGGCAGACAGAGGATGATCCAGAGACAGAACATACCAAAATTTATATTTTCCTCTTTTACATCTCAGTAACTCTGAGGAATTTTATTTTATTTTTTTTACAAAATAAAATCAATTTTATTGATAAGGGGCACCAACCAGCAGGGGGTCCTTCTCATGGGTTCCTTGCAGCCACGCTCCCGGGAGACACGAAAGGACTTTGAGATTTCAGGAAAGGAAGTGGGTGCACTTAATGCACCCAACCCCACCGAAACTGACTCTGCTTTGCTCCAGAGCAGTGTTTCTCAACCTTGGCAAGTTGAAGATGAGTGGACTTCAACTCATGCTGGCTGGGGAATTCTGGGAGTTGAAGTCCACTCATCTTCAACTTGCCAAGGTTGAGAAACACTGCTCTGGAGCAAAGCAGAGTCAGTTTCGGTGGGGTTGGGTG